ATGAATTCCATTAAATTTATCACTTTAATGCGACTCATGTCCAAATAACAAAATTCATAATCATGCATGGACACGAAAAAATAATTTTAATCGGTAATAGGCGCTGCGAAAGTGATTAATCACGATCTGAAAGCACATTGGGAACTAGGAAATTGCGGTAGTTTTCTAACGGCATAATTGCGAGCATTCCAATCAAAGACACTTCACTTCAACTCCCAATATAAAAATTCATCAACTACATGCATGATGAATTTCTGAATTTATTCTACCTAACTTAGGAGGAAAATAGTTGTTCAGGCACAAAACCCATTGCCGTTTGCTGTAAAAATTAACACAACCGCACAACTCCAATGATTTTTCTCCCATTCTTATCGTTGTTTGATGTTCAGGTCCAGTCCATTTTCGATGGCACCAGCGCGGACCCAAGATAAACATGACTAATTGGTTCCAACCTATTTTTTCGTAAAGTTCTGCATTCAGAGCGGTCTTTACAAAGGGCATTTTACATAAAAGCATCAGCGAACCCTCAGTGCGACCAACATGTTAAGAGTAGTTTAAACTGTTTTTGCAAATTAATTAATTTCAACACTTAAACTGACGACTGACAAAAGTAAAAAACGCGGAGAAAGTCTGCTTAATGGTTCAAGGAAAACTGTTCCAAAAATTGTAAGAAACTATCGGTAATTCATCAGAAATTCAATGACTCAAGTGAGTCAGAAATGCAAAACCATGTCCATTCGAACTAATTGACCGACGTTTTGTAATAGTTCACTTTATTAATTCCCTACTCGAGAAAAATAGCGGAAAATTTGCTTTAATTTATTTACGGACTGCTATGCAGATAAATCAATGTGAAAAACAAGATTACGTATTTTCGAGAGGTTTACTACAAGGACACAAATAGGACATGAAAAAGATCAACAATTGAAACCACATGAACCAAAACAGTGTCTGGAAGACGCAAAACAACAATGGCCCGATTAGGGCCAAATTCGCAATATTTAGTCTGAGTAACAAATTGAATGCAAAAATCTGAATCTTCCGACATATTTACTACTAAACAGTATTGCGTGTTATCCAGCTAATACTTGCGCCATTTGCGGTTGAAACCGTGCCTTTTTTTGCTTAAAACCATACAAACGCAAACAACAATTTCCGCTCGCCATTGAATGTTTAATGCACTTTTAAAAACGCTTAAATTAGCATTAGTTATTCACGTGTTTGCATTTTAACTTTCAAAATGTTCATTTTGTATTATCGCCGCATATTTTCGGTTTGTTTGAATAATTACCGGCCTCGTCTATTGAATATTTAGAAACGAAGCGAAATTTTAGCATATTCCACATTACGCTGTGTCAAAACATATTTGCAAATTATTTATAAAGGCCGTGTTAAGTATATTGACGCAAGTCATGCAATTTTCATTTCATTCTACAACGAACAATAACGTTGTTTGAAATATCTATTTAAGTTTTCAGCTGCTAACTGTAAAATATGATTCGCTCCATTAATATTATTTGGGAAAATATTACACCCGGACAGTAATTGATGGAATAACAATGTGAATAACAAGCTAAAGAGTGAAACTGAAGTTTCCCAAGCAAGAGCTAATTCCCAAGATGGGAATACTTTAAGATCATTTAGCAGTCTTTTTTAAATGATCTTTATCAAACATATGGAGGCAGTAAAAATATTCCCGATTTAAAAGAAAACACGATTCTGGTGACACTCCGGAGGGGCAGAACATGATTGGCGATGGGAACTAAATTTAGAAGTACTTATTCGAATTAATTTTTCAGACATGCCACCATTATGAAACCTCACACGATTTTCCAATGTAAACCTAAAATTAGTGTTATGAGTAATTCCTAAAATAACAACTTACCCGGTTCGAGAACCTTGAAGATTGATGATGATTAATTATATTTTTCGATTAGGCGCTATGTTCAATTAAATATGCATGCAGGATGATTAGAGAGTGGTAAGTGTTTACTTCAAGCTATTCGAGTTCTGTAATAATGGCAAAAAGACATATATAAATGTTTTGTCAGTACAGTACAACAATATGTGAGTCAACGGTGGAATATAACGAATTATCTCTAATTCCGTTCAAATTTAGAAAAATTTCGATTCGTTTCGACGTAAGAAAGTCACAAACATGCATTTATAAAGGGTTTGGGTCAATAATAAGGAAGAAATCGTCGGCTAAAGATGGTGACCAATCAAAAAACGCTTAAAATGTGCCGAAAATGTCTGTTATTTCGGATCTRAAACTTCTAGCATGTTTTCCTACGAGTTCGATGCATCCCTCGCGCCCGTGAGCTGAAAATTATGCAAAATTTAAGAAATCCTGAGAAATTTAAAAATCGACCTCCACTCTTGGAAAAATGTCGACCAAAAATCAAAATTTCACATGCGTGTTTTTTGAGATCAATCGATTCCTTTCGACGTAAGGAGGTCACAAATATGCGTTTATAAAGTGTTTGGATCAATAATAAGGAAGAAATCGTCGGCTAAAGATCGTGACCGATCAAAAAACGCTTAAAATGTGCCGAAAATTTCTATTATTTTGGATCTGAAATTTCTACCATGTTTTCCAACGAGTTCGATGCATCCCTCGCGCCCGTGAGGTGAAAATTATGCAAAATTTAAGAAATCTTGAGAAAWTTTTTATTTTTTTCAAAAAATCGACCTCCTTTCGACGTAAAAAGGTGCATGATATATGCATTTATAARGTGTTAGGGCCAATAATAAGGAAGAAWTCGTCGGCTAAAAATGATGTAAAATTTCTGTTTCTAGGAAGCAAATGCAAAAAAAGCATCAGATAAGGCGCCAGTCGACAAATGTGGCATTTTCTAACTCGTCCGGTATGAATCGAGGATTTATGCAGGTAAAGAAACCAATTTGAGAAGTTTAAATCAACATGTTTTAATCATTCAAGGCATGTACTGAGAATTACGGCATGATACATTAAATTGACCTCCAATAAATCATCAGTATGAACGCGTCCTCATATTCCGTGAAGTCATATCCATGAATTTTTCGCTTTAACGACGCATTTTCATGGTAGTTTTTATTAGGTAAAATTACGAGTCTTATCTTAATGCCGAATGGTACCATCCACGGTCGGGCAAAAGCCCAGTGGCGTGAAAACAGATATCAACTGATATCTAGTTATTATAATTGATCCGAAAAACACATTTATTACACTTCAAAATCTTAATAGATTAATAAAACTCGCAATTACTATAATCGTTATTTAACAGTATATTCTGGTATAAGCGAGGACTTTCAGATGCTTATCGAGAGTAGACAATGCAAGCCAATTAAAGCTGATCTACTTTTTATAATGAATGTTTAAGTAAGAACAAGCTATTCAATATTACGATGAACAATGACGAGGTTATCAACGTAGCAACAAAGTGCATACATGGAAAATGCGCTTGATGCAGCCATCAACTCTGTCAAAAGGTGTTTCTGTGCTCGCTCTAAACAAACATATTCGAAAAAAAATCCTATTGTTCACTAAGTTTTTTATTAGTTCTTTGTAATGTCGGTTATTAGCATTTTGAACTGCGTAATAGGAAAAGTTGGATTTGCGTGATGGAAATCTGGCCTAGTAAAACCCCATAAATATTAACAATTAACGTGTTGATGATTTACAATCGATGTCAAATTGCTTGATATAAATTTAACGAGATTTTTATGTATTTTAGGTAGCGAAAAAATTGCCACAGTGAAAATTAAGGAAATTTTGTAGCTGGGGCATAGGCCTCAAAATGTATTTTTGCGTCAAAATATCCCCAAAAGAGTGAAAGTAATGTTATAAGTATTGCAAAAAATGCAAGGTGAATTTAAGTAACATTTTTTTCCCTCTTCAGTGGTGGAAAAATGAACGCTGTCGCCTAAATAGTTCGTGAGATACCACCGAAAGGATGGCGGCATTTTCACCCACGTTTTCCAAGTGCGTAAAGCTGAAATCATGTTGAAATTTCGCAATTTGTCTCAAAATTGTCAGTATTTTTCACGTGATTTCACGTTTCACTTGGTGATTGTGTGCTCCAATCCAGAGCCCAAAAAGGGAAGTCTGTGACTTTGATTGGCTTTAGAGGTATGAAAAAATGCCCTAAAAAAGTCACTAATTATTAATTAATTAATTTCGCATGCATATTGGACATTAACCAATGAAAACTGAATTCCTGCCAAGTAATAAATGGAAAACAATTTCATATCGGGAGTTATGTTACATTTATAGAGGAACTTACCTATTGTTCCACTTACACAAGTTATTGGGTTGGTTAGAAACAGTTTAACAGGAAAAAGCGACGCCCAAAACTTGAAAAAGTTGGATTTTACGAACAATGCGCAAATATGGGTGTTGAAACAACGCGGTATAAAATTAATGCCTCAATTTTATTTTGGGAGAATTCCAGCGATGGAATCTCCAAATCATGCCTCTTTCATTGGAGAAAAGCTGCCAAATACCAAAGCCGAACTATCATCTTGACGGCAAAAGTCTTAACGCAACTCGTTTTGGTTTGTAGCTAATAAAAAAAATATATCCGAGTCCGACGGATATAAAATTATTATAATAAATAAATCACAGTTGACAGAATTCTGGTTGATTTTCTGCCAATAAAAAATCCGAGGAAACCTAAATAAAACACTAATTGATTCTATAAAAACAGTAACACGTTTTATTATATTTATAAGCGTATCTTGACTATGACTAGCTGTACATTATATTTAGCCATATTTATTTTATACATATTCACAATTTTTTTTCGTAGCCGGTCAGAATCGGTTTTAATCTGAAGCCAGCGTATTTTCACAGATTTTTATTTACAGGTGATATAACAAATAGTTTCTTTGGTGATGACCCCTCAGTAAATATTATTTCGACCCATTAATTATTTGCTATTTAGCATTACGTGTGCATAAGGAAACGTTGACTGTCGAAATATGTTTTCCTTTTACTGAAACTCCTTTTTTCTTTTTAGAAGGAAATAACATTTCTCCAGTCAAGCCAGGGGAATAGCATAGCATTGATGGATATACACTATTTCTAGGTAGAGTTCGGAAAATATATCTAAATTTGACACATGTTTGCCTATAGAAAATACCTCTCAAACTATTACCAATAGATATTTGTAACAGCAAGTTTGTGGGTTTATTTGCTCTATTCATACAAAATGGAATGAAATACGTGATATGACGGTAACAAAAATCAATCTACTTGCGCTCAACTTCATACACTAGGATTTTTCAGTCGGTTTTTCTTTAGCAAACTAATAGAACTTAAGTCATGTTACCATTAAGGCAAAGTTCAAGTACTTAAAACCACAAACATTGAACGAAACTGCGACTTAAATATGGTCTTAAAAGTCTTAAAAATAAATACTTTTCATGCAACAAAATTAAAGCGTAGGGTATTTGCGACTAGATCTGTAGAATTCGGATGTACATTTTTTACACATTTGACAAGTATATATTGTCTACAACACTTATGTGTCCTATGTTTCTACTGTAAAAGACCCGTAATATTCTGCCATAAGTTCAGTTTTCTCGTTCTCCCATTATTAAGATTAATCTAGAACTCTTAATCTAATGAAAGACGTAGGAGATATCCAGGATACACTGCAATGGCATCAAAATTCCCAATCATTCACCGAATGGCAAATCATTGCAATATCTCCCTAATTAATTCATCCCGCTTGTATTTACAACAGATTGTAAACAATCAATTTGAGGAGCGCTAAAATCCTATATCTATTATCGACATTTGTTTGTTTAGACGACTTTTTCCAATTATCAGATGTTGTAAGGCCAAGGTCGGTGTCGTTTAATCGGCATATGCATTTTCCAAATTGAAACTCTGATGTTCAAACGGCTCATGAGGCATTGTGGACCATTTCTCAGGTGTTTTTTCTATTACACGACTGCAGGTTATTCAAATTAGGGAAGAAAGTTAGCATGATTTTAAAACGTGCTTCGCGAAGCTTTTGAGACTTTTGGATTTCCAGTTTGCCTGTTAAGTTGCTTATAAAACAAGGCTTTTTCGAGTGAAATGGCGATAGACCCGATGGGTCTTTCTGCCCAGTTCAGTTGGTGGAATAAATTTGGGGTGCGATCAATTTACGGCAACGTGCAATGAAAAAACGATCGGAACCCGGACGTATTTATGAATCTGCCACCCAAATTGATCGGAAAATTTGAAGCTAACGCTTTTTTGCCCGTTTTGCAGTGATTTTGAAGTGTAAACTACGGTGTGAGCGACGGCATCTGGGCTTTGTTGATCATATTTCAAACACACATGCCATAAACTCACGCGCACAATGCTCTCAATATATTAAAAGATTCTGCTAATTTTACCTTGTTCAATGGTTGCGATACCATTGCCATTCCGTTCAGCCCGCCAAGATGCCAAAAAAATGTAAATAATCCACATTTTACACAGGAATCAAACGCCGCTGACACCAAAAACGAAACCACTTTGCAGTTTTCAACAGAAAACACACTGGCTGGAAAAACTGCTGTTTAGGTTAGTTGTTCGGCGTTAGTTGCTCGGCGTTAGTTGTTCGGACTTTGCTTACAGCAACACCACTAAACGGAACCAACTCGAAGAAGACCGATACCATTCGATAAGATCACACCTTGTGTGCCATCCGGAAGACATGCTGGTGGTGCTGGTCAAATTTAGCCCAAAGTTAAGGGCTAAATGGGCAATAAAAGTGGGTGTTTTCGGGCATGTTCGATGTAGGGCAACGCCTTAAACTAAATTTTGTATCTTCTGAGCAAGACGAAGAACATACATTGAAATGATGATAAATACGTGAATGGTACTGTAGGTCACCCCCATCGAAATTTGAATAGTTGGAACGTTAACTGCCTGATTAATACGAAAATTTGCATTTGAAAAAGATCTGACTTCATGACCTCAATCCCGTAAACAACTGAAAATAATGCAAATACAAGCGAGCAGTTGGACATGTTTGTTTAGAACAATCGCCCGATAACGATCTTGAGCATGTTCATATGTTGTTCAACCCAACAATTCGAGCTGCTTTATGTGAAAAATGAGGTTATTGATTTACACTACCCACTTTAAATATTTACTTAAAAGTTGAAAAGCTAACAAGGAATATCGGGTTGAAAGAAATGCAAATTACAAACACGCATTAGCGGGACAATAACTGCTCCTATTGGAAAAGTTTTTGTTAAATGATCGAGAATTCCAACGAGGTAAGTAGATTGGGCGTTCATGTGACTGATAAGGGAAGTAAATAGGTTTTTAATCGTACGCAGACAAGAACAATAATGAATAAATAAAGATTATTGGCTTTCAAGCATGTAGGAAGTTATTGTCAAATAATCAACCAAATTCAGGATTAATTGCAGGTGACGAATAACGGCGATTGTCGCTTGCCACAATAATCTTAAGAAAACGTACACGCGAAGGTCAGTAATTTGCATTTTAATTTTGTTGTTCATGCACCGGAAGCTTTCTGCCATGATTGACAAAATAATGATACCAAACGGATTAATTAATGAGATAACGATTGACCATTTAGCAGCAGAGATAGCAAAGTTATTATAAAACACCTGGTTGAAAAGAAGTCAAGAAGAAATTCCAGTGGTTTTGAACCAGAACGCTCATTTTTACACACTCCAGTGACATTTTTGTTGCATCCATGTTGGCAGTTTTCACAAAAAGTTTTAGATTTGCGTGTTTTTTAAGTTGGAAAATCGATTCAAACATTTTTCGAAGTGTCTCAAGAACCATTTGGCACATAATTCGTTTTGGCGTGGTTGGATAGAGAATAGAAAAATCGATTCAGTCATAACGTGAGTAAGGAAATTCGAGTAGTTTTGACATAGAAAGCGAAATTTGAATCAGACACTTAGGTGCAAAGATTATGACAAATTTTCATGTTTTTCGTGCCGTTTTTGCTCATTTCTCGGAGGCAAAATGAGCAAGAACGCTCATTTGTACATCATTCTAGACAGAAATAAATGGCCTTTTTAGAAAGTGAACCATCGATAAGGAAATGTTGACAGTTTCCCCAAAAAATGCTTGAATTCAAGAAGTTTTAGATTTGCGTGGGTTTTTTTTGAGTTGCAAAATCCACTTGAACATGACGCTGCTTTTTTCGAAGTTTCTCACGAACCATTCGAGCCACAGAATTCGTTTCGGCATCGTTGGATAGAGAATTGAAAAGTCGATTCAGTCGTAAATCAGTGAGCAAATTCGAATAGTTTTGACCCAGAAAGCCAAATTTGAATATCACACACTTAGGTGCAAAGATTATGACAAATTTTCATGTTTTTCGTGCCAGTTTTTGCTCATTTCTCGGAAGCAAAATAAGCAAGAGCGTTCATTTTTACATCATTCCAGAAGGAACTAAATGGCCTTTCGAAATGGACTCAAACATGACTGTTAGAATAATCAAAATGCTTTTTATATTGTGCAACAACAAAGCCATATTGTTTAGGCAACCATAATTTGTGTTTATCGCGAGAACCTTATTTAGTTAGTCGTCGCTAAATCGCTGCTGATACAAAATCGCTCTTGTGATCGGGAATTTACTTTGTACTGTTTTTATATTTCTTAAAACACTTTTACTCACATTAAGAGTCATAATTCATAGTTCAGGTTCGGTTACAAGTAAAACCGGCATCGTTTGTAGTAATTTGGAAATTAATGGTTTCGCTGCTCCAAAAAAACAATGAAAACACATTTGAGGTTTTCAGACAGCAAAGACCTAAAAGAATCTAATGTTTCCCAATTATGAGTTTGTATGAATTTTAAATCTGATGATGGCGCTGTGGTCTCGCCGAAACGTTATGAAACAAACGATATAAAAATTTTTATTTCACACTGACTGAAAACCAGAAATTGGAAAAGGAAAAATGGCGTCTTTTGTGTTGATTTGGAAATTTATGAAATTCAAAGGGTGAAAAGTAGTGAAAAACTGCGAAATATCTATAGGAAAAATGTTTATTATGAGGTTTTCGATAAGGTGTTTTAATCGGCAAAGCGATAGTTTTGATCGTGTTCAGAAAATTGCCCATTTGAATTTCAATTGTACTCGATTAAAAGCGAAAATAATTCAATAATCAAATGACCATTAGAATGCAGCAGGAATAAATTCGATTTAAAATGTGCTCCATTGGGATCAGAAAAAAAATTAGTCGTTCGCAAAAGCCAATTATGGCCAGTATCTTTAGTCGTGATTGTTACTAGCGTTTGTGCGATGGCTAAATTTTCCATATCAAATAGCGCTTTTTAGCGAAAATGGGGTTTAAACCATGTTAACTTAAGTCGATGAACAAAGTGATAAATGCGTTATTTTAAATGATTTGCTAGCGACAGCAAAGCAATTACAAATTCGGCATTTAAACTGTATCGCGTCAGTGCCTTTGAACATCAGAATTGTTGAAATGTTAACATTTGAGATGACAACGCGACCGATTCGCCTGGCGAAGATAAGTTTCGAGTTCCAATTAATTATGCTGTTGTGAATTAGAAATTGGATGCAGTCTTTTAATCTCTACCAAAGAAACTAAACGTAAAAAAGGTAGATCTTGTCGCAGATACTGTACAAGAAAAAACTAGGTCAAAAATTACAACTGCGTTGCTCTTGGCTCTCATACAATTGCAAATATGTTTACATCAAAAAAAAGATTCAACAGCAATGAGTTTTGGTTTTTGAAATTGTTGATGAGGAAAAATGTATTAGTCACGATTGCAATTAATGATTTCGGGAACTCAAATGCGATTGATTGCAATAGATCTGGTTTCTCCTGAACATTTAGCTGATATATTTGCATGCCTTTGAATTTTGAGTTCGAAACGGAAGAAAAAGAAATTTGCATTTGCATAAAAGCGGGCAGCCTGACGAACGCAGATAAGATCGCTAATCTTCCTAAAGTAAACGATTAAATCTATTAGTGGGAGATAAATACCTACACAGCTGATATATCATCTGGATCACTACGACCACGCCCGATCTTCTGGAACGCTTGCGCTGCACTTGCAAACCAGGGGCGGTACAAATTACATACTACTATCACAAGAAGGATGACAGGAATAACTAAATCCAAGTTACGCTCTTCATCAGCATGAAACTGATCGGAATTGAAACACAATATCACAGGCA